TTTTTGTGGGCACGGTACCTTCTTGGCAGAACAAAAACACATGTCTTTTTACCTGCTCTGGTTGAGCTCCGCAGATGTCGTATGAAAGCTGGCCGTTGCTGCTTTCCTGGTAACATGCGCGAATAGCTTGTGGGCAAGAATCCACGGGGTGAATTTTTAACAAGGGTCTCTCAGCCACATCTCTCGCTCTTCTGCTCGCATGTTTGTAGGATGTTGTTGCTCGACATATGGCTTCATATCACACGATCGCCTAGCGCATCATATCAGCCGTGCTTCGCACGTCCAGCACAACATTATGTGGGGTTTGGGGTATTTAACCTTGGCGCTGAGTTCGCTGTTGCTTACTCGTGGCCTCGCAAATCGCTCCCGTGCCAGTGCTAACCGATATAAGATTGTGTGGCTCTTGGCCTCACCTTGGCGGGCGTTCGTAAAAGAGACGGGCCCATACAGATATTGTCAGTGCTTGTTCGTTGTTGTCGGTCGCCGTCGTTCCGACGCCGTCTGGTGCTGTGTAGTTGGTCGGTGATCCTCGAAACGGTTTTTTTTCACCTTCCATGATTTCATACACAAGCTGGGATATCTAACCTTGGCAGTGTGCTCGCTGTTACTCATTCGTGGCCTCGCGAATCGCTCCCGTGCCACTTTTACTGTATATATATGTATATATTTGCGTATACACTTATCTATATGTGCTATCATATTTATATACATATGTATGGACAGGCGATGCCACACATGTTCATTCAGTATTATGCATACATGTCACCATGTGCACATTTACGTATTCATCTACACACGTATATTTACACATAGAAGGACCCGGTACACAGATTTGGATGCATGCGTTCACATGTATGCATTTATCTATGTTTACACACATTTTCACACATGCGTTTATATTTGTATATGTATATGTATAGGAATATGTATATGTATATGTATGTATATATGTATGGCTGGACGTATGTGTGTACATGGGGACAGCGTATGACACGAACACCGAGATATGTAAACATATAGTGTGGGAGACGCAAGATTGGCAATCCATACGTATATACAGGGCGATATACACATATATATATATATACTTATATATATATATAGAAAGAGAGAGAGAGAGAGAGAGAGAGAGAGAGAGAGAGAGAGAGAGAGAGAGAGAGAGAGAGAGAGAGAGAGAGAGAGAGAGAGAGAGAGAGAGAGAGAGAGAGAGAGAGAGAGAGAGAGAGAGAGAGAGAGAGAGAGAAAGAGAGAGAGAGAGAGAGAAAAACAGAGAGAGAGATAAAGAGAGAAAGAGAGAGATAAATCGAGAGAGAGAGAGAGAGAGAGAAAGCGAGAGAGAGAAAGAGAAATAGAGAGTGATAACTATTACTATACAGAGAAAGGGGAGGGGCGTAGGCAGGCACAACGTGATGGACAAAGGGGGATAAATACGACCTGCGGTGCACATGCAGGTGTGCGATACATAATCAAACACGGTGAGGTGGTTGTCGATGCACTTGTCGATGCACTTAGGCATGCTGAATGTTGCTCATACTCGCAGCGTGTGCCCAGATACGGCCAGGTATGAAGCCAGAAATGAGACAGATGAGGTACGCCATGAGCCGAGCAAACTCAAAGGTCGGGGGATGCGCGGGTGGACTTGCCTGGTCACCTGGCTTCTAGCCCGGGTCTCACGTCCCTCCAAGCACAACACAGCACCACGACCACAATTCTGGACGCGTCGCTCCTCCCCGCCAGCCCATCCAAACACGATCGGATGCTCTCTTAAGGCCTCTTGGAGGGCATCGTGAGCCATGTTCGACTAGAGGCTGTCGGATGCTATCCGGAGCCATGCTCAGCTATCTTGGACCGTCTTGTGGCTGTCTTGAGGCCTCTTGGAGGTCTGCAGGTGGCTGTCTTAAGCCATGCTCGACCTCCTGGGACCATCTTGGGGGTATGAGGAGGAAGATGAGAAGGATGAGGAGGAGGCGGAGGAGGAGGAGGAGGAGGAGGAGGAGGAGGAAGGATGAGGAGGAGGAGGAATAGTAGTAGGAGGATGAGGCCCAGGATGAGGAGGAGGAGGAGGAGGAGGGAGAGGATGAGGAATGCGGCACGAGGAGGAGGAGGAGGAGGAGGAGGAGGAGGAAGAGGAATAATAATAATAATAATACCAATAATAATATCAATAATAATAATATTAATTATGATAATAATATGAAGAAAAGGAATAAGAATAAGAAGAAGACGAATAATAATATTACTAATAATAAGCATACTACTAATACTAATACTAATCATACTAATAATAATAGGAGGAGGAGGAGGAGGAGGAGGAGGAGGAGGAGGAGGAGGAGGAGGAGGAGGAGGGAGGAGGCAGTGAAGGAGGAGGGAAGGAGCGGACGATGACAAGGAGGATGAGAACTCGGGCTTTGGAGGTATGTTGTTGTGAGAGGTTCTTGAAGGACGACGACGGCCATCTTCGAGGCTCTCTTACGGCCGCCGTGGGGCCTTTTGGGGCACTCTTGGGGCCCTCTTGTGGCTCATTTTGAGGGTCTTGTGGCCCTCTTGGGGCTCGCTGGGTTTGGGATGCCTCTTGGGGGGCCATCTTGGCCCTCGTGACTCTACGAGGGGGGGGGTAGTAAATTCAGGCCCCCCCTCCACCACCCTGGGAGGCTAACACATGGCGCTCTTGGGACCCTCTTGGGCCGCTCTTGGAGCGCTCTTGGGCGCTCTTAGGGCTTTCTTGGGGCCCTCTTGGGTCCTTCTTGGGGCTCTCTTGGGCTGTCTTGGGGCCATCTGGAGGCATCCGGGGCCCATGGGAAGCGAAAAGGCGAGAAGGTCAAACACATTGGATGTCCCTAGGTTTTTGACGGAATTTGGCTTCTCGGAGGGTGCCTAGAATGGCTCGAAGGGCACTGGAAGCTGTCTTGGGCCTGTCTCGAGGCGTCATCGAGGCATGTCGGAGGCTATCTTGAATCATGTTCGGTTATCTTGCTCCATCTTGGAGACCATCTTGGGCTGCCTGAGGCCCTCTTGGAGCCATCTTGGAGCCATATTGGGCCATCTTTGACGCTCTAACCCTTCTGCCCCTTCTCCAAGGCCTAGGGAAGGGGGTATAGGGGGATGGGTCAAGACACTCTCCTAGATAGCAAGCCGTCTAGCTCACTCCCACCCGCCCTCCCAACACACAAGAGCCTCATCATGTTGAGCGGTCGTCTTTAGATGGGCAGCTACTGGGAACCAACAGCGAGTCCATGTGCGCGACGCTGGGGCGAGGTGCGCCACGCGTGCCAGGCGCGCCAGGCGCGCCAGGCACCCCTGGGGCCCGAGCGTGCCAGGTACGCCTGGTGCGCCAGATGCGCCACGTCCTCCGCGTGCGCCAGGTGTGCCGCCTACTCCAGCCGCGCCAGGTGCGCCACGTTCGGGGCACGTGCAGAGTGTGTCAGGTGCGCCTGCGCAAGGGACAGCACACATCGGGAAACATGTCGGCCACTACCATCCTTGTCGAAAACGAATGCCCATCATTGTGTCTGGTGGGCCTGCGCACAGCAGGCCATACGTCACCACCCCCGCCGTCCCTGTCAAAAACCACTTGAGAGTGATCGCGGGGTTGTCGCGCATGATCCAGACTTAGACGCGAGGTGCATTTTGTAGTGATGTTTGTCAGGGATCGTAGCCCTGTGCACAGCAGGCAATATGTTGACACCCCCGCCGTGCCTGTCCAAAAACAATACAAAATGCTCGCGGGCCTCACTAACATGACTCCAGACTTTGCCCCAAAGTGTATTCTGCATTGTTTTTGACAGGGATGGTGGAGGGGTGGCCCTCATGGGGTCCTCATTGTTCCTGGTTGGCAGCCGGTCGCCTGAGGGAGGGGGTGTATATCACTAGGGAACAGTGATCAACACCTTCCCCCGAGCAGGGGAAGAAGGGTTGTGGGAAGAAAACAAGAGTTCGTTAAACCACCTACGCCCAGAGGCCTGGTGGGACTCATTGAATTTTTCAGGCGGGCCCCTCGGGGGAGAACCCACCGACCTCGGCATGAGCACTTGGGTCGTGATGGTGGTCGATTGTGCCGTCCTGGGACGCCACATCGATCTAACAACCAGTGCGAAACTGGTTTCGGTATCCTGACACCGTCTGGCATGCGCAGATCGTCCCTCAGGGTGTGTCCTCGATGCTGTCGTGGTCGCCTGCTGTCCCCGCAGTCCCCTCTGGCGAACTTGCCCTCCCGCCTTCCGCCTCGCACGGGGGAGGCCAGCGTGCGAGCGCCGGTTCGCTCCCGAGCGCTGCGGCGGAGCTGAGCCTCACGATGCCAGCGCCCCGACAGCCCGGCGAGGAGTGACCTCCGGGGCCCAGTTTCTGGCCACCGCTGACCAGCCTGAAGCATTCCCCGTAGGGTGCTTCCCTGAGGATACGTCGTGCATGTCCCTCTACAGGAGGAAGGACAGTCAACAGAATAGTCTGTGGACGATGTTGTTTGCTGTGTTGGACTCTTCGAGCATGTTTCATATCTTTTACTTTTCGCCCAAACTCAGCCTGCAGGAGGACGTGCCCGACCTGACCCAAGATTGTTACTACCTCTCGGCTTGTCAATCCGCTCGATTTGGGTATTAGCCGCCCCCGCGCGCGCACCTTGTGCCGAGCCAGCTTCTTCAGTGTGGTGGGTTGTGCGCACCCCCCGCGCCACGGTCTTTTGCTGGACCAGCTTGTCGGCGGGAGAGTGTGCAAACACCGCGTTCCCAGACATGCGCGGGCTCTGCTCTGATCACGCTCTGCTAGGGGCCAAAGCGCGCACGACGTCCAGGGTTGAGGGTGGGGCAGCGGCAAGTCGTTGGTGGTCGCATCTCGAGCTCTATTCTCCTGATGCAGCAAGGGTCGCCTCGGCCATTTCTGCCTCTCTCCTCCTCCGTGCTCTCTCGCTCTCTCGCTCTCTCTGTCTCTCTCTCTCTCTCTTTCTTTCTGTGTGGTGCAGCCTTTGCTTCTCTCGCCTCGCTCGTCCTCGCTCCAGCTGTGCAGAGGAGCTGACCGAGGACCAGCTGACCGACATTAAGGAGGCCTTTGAGCTCTTCGACACCGACGGCTCCGGATCCATCGACTCCAAAGAGTTGAAGGTGGCCTGGCCTTGCGCCGCACCGAGAGCAGAAATACCGCTCCCAGGGCAGGCTGTTCCTACAGTCGGACCGAGGTATAAGGTCGAGGTCGGTTCGGGGAGGGTACCCTAGTGTCTTTCTTGTTCGTTGGGTGTTCTTGTGCCTCCTGGGGAGGGTACCCCTTGGATGTTCCGTGTGTTTCGGCTGGCGGAGGGTCTCATCTTCTTGTGGGATGCTCTTCTGGCCTGGGTCGGGTATAGCCAGGACCCCAGGTAAGGGGACCCGGTGAGTGGTAGGGCCCCGGAGCCCCCAAATTGGCCCCATCACTAAACCAGCTCTGCCGTAGCTGGTGTTTTTTCGGGTGACGGCACTTCCGGTTAGTGGAACGGGGCGGGAGTGGTCCCCCAGTGCACATCACTAAACCAGGTCCCACTAAACCCAGTTCTGCCGACGCCCGACTGGGCCCGATGGTATCCCCGATCCGACGGCACGATATTTTTTTCAGTGCGCGGTCCCAGAGGCCCCGGCTTCGTCCCGAGGGGCTGCTCTTCAACCTGGGCCCACGGAGGCCGAAAACCAGGCTGGAGAGGGTTTCTTCGAAGGCTCCTCCTCCTCCTCCTCCTCCTCCTCCTCCTCCTCCTCCTACCACTCCTCCTCCTCAGGGGTCCTATCTGAGGAACGGTGCGGAAGGTTTCCTCCTCCTCCTCCTCCTCCTCCCCCTCCTCCTCCTCCTCCTCTTCCTCCTCCTCCCCTCCTCTCCCTCCTCCTCCTCCTCCTCCTCTCCTCTCCTCTCCCTCCTCCTCCTCCTCCTCCCTCCTCCTCCTCTCCCTCCTCCTCCTCCTCCTCCTGCTCCTCCTCCCCCTCCCCCCCCTCCCCCTCGGGACGACCATCGGCGACGACCATCGGGGAGCATCCTCCTCCTCCTCTTCCTCCTCCTCTTCTCGGATCATCTTGCGCAAGATGAGCGCGGCGCGAGGCCGGAAACTGCACGGGGCATGGACGTCCGAGCGTTGGCAAGCGGTGGGCCTCGGAAGTGGCAGGGCCGTCTCCGAAGATCTGGCGCCTGTTCATGGAGCTGGGTAGTCGAAGGCCAGACTGTCAGATTGGATTGGGCCCCATGGGCCAATCTGGCCTGGCCAAACTGGATGATTTGGGTTATTCGCCAGACTGGGTTCGCGTTGGCTCCCTCGCCAGATTGCCCCCGTTTGCCAGATTGGGCCTGCCAGATTGGCGCCAGATTGGCTTCGACTACCCAGTGGAGGCAGTGCCAGGGCGGCACGGGGAAGCAGCTGCGCCAGACTCGAGACCAGACGCGGGACCGAACAAGAGAACGGCGACGGAGCCGAACAGAACAGGCGACGGAACCGGACGCGGGACCGAGCAAGATCACGGCGACGGAGCCGGACACCAAGGCGGCGGAATTTGACAGTAGAAATGCAAACACGGGTCCGTTAGAAAAACAGCCCTGCCGTTTCCACGGCCCACTGAGTTGCAGACGCCCCTCCTGAGAGAAAATGATCAGGGTCTAGATTTACGATGTATAGGTGTAGGCCAAAACAATCGGGAGGTCGAACGCTGCGGCCTGATTTCGTTCGCCCTTTTTTTCAGTGCACTGTGCACCGCGCTTCCCACGCGTTCAGCCCCGTTCCCCTTTTGCGGTCGAAGTCGTAATACATGTGTTGCGTGCGTCGATGCCAGCGTCGTTTGTGCGAGGGTCGCTCCCTGTGCTTCGCATGCCGCGCAGGGACTTCTGGACGTTGTTAGATTTTGTTTGGCGGCCGTTGCGCGCGGTGCAGTTCTCGTGGGAAAGCACCTCTGGACATTGCAGTTGCGTCTGGGGGCTGCTTCGCCAGGCTGCTTTAGCGTGTGTCGATTGCCGTCTGAGCGGAATCCGCTTCAACAGAAAATTCCTTTGTGCCTCCTTCCTCCTCGATCTTCTCCGCCTCTTCCCATCTGCCTCGTCTCTCCCCGGCCCCCGTTTTGCCAGTCGCAGCGGCTGGACGCAGCTCGAGGCGTTGGTTCGTTTGGTCGTTTTTGGTTATATTAGAATGTGTAAGTAAGTCAGTCAAGCAGAACTTAAGTAATTATGTGTGTATGCATGCATGCATGCATGTCTGTGTGTCTGTCTGTCTGTATGTATGTATATATGCATGTATGTATGTATGTATGTATGTATGTATGTATGTATGTATGTATGTATGCATGTATGTATGTATGTATGCATGCATGCATGCATGCATGCATGCATGCATGCATGTATGTATGTATGTATGCATGCATGTATGTATGTATGTATGTATGCATGCATGCATGCATGCATGCATGTATATGTATATGTATGTATGTATGCATATGTATGTATATATGTATGTATGTATGTATGTATGTATGTATGTATGTATGTATGTATGCATGCATGCATGCATGCATGCATGTATGTATGTATGTATGTATGTATGCATGCATGTATGTATGTATGTATGTATGTATGTATGTATGTATGTATATATATATAAGTCTTAATTTGCGGCTCGCGCCGCCACATGAGCAGTTCAGAGAAGGCACACTTCGCGTGGGTCATAGCTCGCGATATCTTCAGCTACTGGAGTCGGCCAGAGCCGACCACGTGCACGTGCCAGTGCCCAGAAGTCTCGGTCTCTTGCCCAAGCGCGGAGTGCAGCAGTCATCTGGAGGTGATACGAGATCTTTCTTACGAGCAGGTGCGACACGCAGCTGGTAGCAAGTGCCCGACGTGTGAGATCGAGCCGTGTGCGCCCTTCCCTTGGTTCCTCATTCTCGTGCTGGTTGCCGCCCTCCCGATCGTTGGGTTCGTGGGTTTCCTCGTGGGCCGTGCATCCTCGTGGTGTAGACGCTCGGCCGGGACAACGTCAGAGACTACCTCGACAGGCGGGAAGAGGTCTCTCGGGCCCTTCACGCCCGCCACCCTCGCAGCTCTTGAGCGCTAGCAATGGCGGCTGCAGCAGCTGCCGCACACCGAGCCCTGGATATTCCAGAGAAACAGGTGCTCATCAATTTTGATGATGATGCCAACGGGCTTCGTTGGCATCACCGAATACTTCTTATCAAAGGAGGTGATGGACGGTGGGTGGTGGCGACCCCGACGTGGAGCATCCAGTTGGCCGACCTCTCGAGGCACCACATCCGCGTGCTGCGACGAGGAATGCCAGTGGAGCGGGACTACCTGCCGGAGGCTTTCCTGTTCGACCCGAACGCATCAGATGCGGAGCTGGCCCGCGCTCGAGCTGAGGCCCTTGAGCTGGCCGAGATCGCCGGGTTTGACCTGTCGGCGGTGCAAGTTCAGGGTGGCGGCGCCGCTCCGGCTCAGGAGGCGGCCTGGCGAGTCGCCGACCCAGCGTCTCCTGCTTTCGGGGAGGAGGTCCCTGTCGGAGCGATGCGGGACCAGGAGGCATCCGTTATCAAGGGGGACGCCGCTCTCCTCAGGCTCGACGGGAAGTGGACCTTCGCCGAGAAGGTCGTCCCTTCTGAGCGCGAGGCTTGGCTCAGAGAGAAGCGAGTGGGGCCGGGTCGTGACCCTCGGCTGCTGGCCGACTCGAGGGACAAGTGGTCTCAGAGGTTCTTGGATGCCGAGACCGCGCTCAAGATGATGCGCCGGGTGAAGCAGCCCCTGCCGGCCCTGGACGGGCCGCCTGCTCTGGAGGAGTACGCGGAGGGGCTCAGGCGGGTCGGGTTCAACTTCGTGACGCACAACCTGGACTGGGAGGCGAAGAGCGGGGTCGCGCCGAAGGGCGCCGTGGCCCGTGAGCACAAGTTCGTGAGCTCCTGGCTCTACCTCATGCTCACGACCGATCAGTTGGACATCAGCAACCTCATCTCGGCTGAGCTGGCCGCCAGGCGATTGATCCAAATCGAGAGTGCAGTTCGGCGCAACCCGAAAGCGCCGGACTTCGACGGGCTCGACATGGTGATGGCGACGCCGATCGGGCCAGGCGGAGAGGTGGTGACTCGGGAGTTCACCAGGTGGATCGCGGAGAGGCAGAAGGACGAGGGCTTCTTGTTGAAGCAGCAGAGGTTGTGGCGCGAGGAGCGCGCGGCCGACGACAAGCGGCAGAGGGGCGGCAAGACCGGCGGGAAGTCGGAGCGCGGTCCCAATTGCGGTGACAAGAAGTATAATGCATGATCCGCCGTTTGGTGATGCGGCGCCTCGCAGCCCGAGAGGCACACCGCGGAGGATCCAGGGTTTTTTTTCGGGCTCGCAGCTCGGGCGCCGACAGCGCGGTGACCCGCTGCCAGTTTTGGTGCCTCCTCAAGGGCGGCTTGACGCCCTACGTGACCACCGACGTTATCTACAGCAGCGGCTTCGGCGTCGGTGGTATCGCGAGCGGCGGGTGAACTCCGTTCTTGGCGCTCTCAACGCGCTGCAGGAGGGCCCGTCGCGTCCCTTTCGTCGCGCTGATGAGGGACTACACTCAGCCTTTCGGCCGCCTCTCACTGGAACGCAGGACTCCGTGCGCCAGCGAGTTGGGCGGCTGGTTTCAAGTGCTGGAGATGCTCCAGCCGACCTCAAGCCGCACGAAGCCCTCCAGGAGCTTCTGCGCGTGAAAGACTTGTACACCGTGGAGCCGAGCCACCTCGGGAGCTTCGACTTCGAACGGGTAAAGGTGCTCTCGGCTGGCGTGTCTGTCAAGGACATGGAAGACCTGCTGCCTCCTGATCAGCGGGCTATGTTGGCAGACCCAGAGGGCCAGATTTTGAGGGACTCGTCTGAGCTTGAGTATGACTCCGGAGCCTTCGCGCCGTACTGGGACCCGAAGTTGCGCTTCGACACCTCCGAGCGTCGGCGTCTTATCCTTCGGCTCGCGGAGTTGGGGCTCGTCGGGTTCCGCACCTCACTTCGAGCACGCATTGGTATCTTCGTGGTCAAGAAGAAAGATGGTTTCCAACGACTGATCGTGGATGCGCGAGAGCCTAACAGGTTGTGTCGGCGTCCTCCCCACTCTTGGCTTGGCATTGTGACCGCGCTGACTGGCGTTGACCTTTCA